ATCCAAACGCTGGAAAAGCTGCAGTACATATGCCGAACCTGTACGTGGCGCTGTAACTTCCTCCACAAAAGCAGCAACTTCCTCCACAAAAGCAGCGAAGAAGAATGGTTGTCATGGCTGCACTTCTGTGTATTCTCCGAGGTGGGGGCCGACAGAACCGGGCAGAGTTTTTCGCCGGTCAGCGTGTGTTAAAGTTTAAATCTTCCGGGCAAAATTATAAAAGTGCCGGTCAAAGGTCTTCATTGTTATTTATTGAGCTTTAAAACAAATGAATAACGACGATATACTGATATATAATCATCAAATACACGGAGCCTGTCTCTTTTTCCTCTCTTCTGACAGCGTCAGTGTCTGTCTCATGCAGCAGCTGATCCTGTAATGAGTGACCCGACAGTAAAAATGAACATATTTATAACTAGTTTAGGTAGTTTGAGAGGTAATTAAAATAGCTAAGGGTGATGATCTGACTTGAAGTGTGTGTTTTGCTCCCGCTGCATCACAGCGGCAGGAGCTGCGTGTCTCCGTCCTGTCAGATTAGACTTCACTCGCGTTTATGTCCATATCGAGATAAAGATAAATAATCTGAATTCAAGGAGGAGCTCCTGTAGATGTTGCACAAAGAACTGTAGCATGGTCAGTAGCGACTGGAGCACGATAGCAACCCCGCGGAGGAGAGGCAGGGAGAGGCGGGGCTATGAAAACGAATGACCGTATAGGCGACTCCACGGCCCCGTTGGACCCCCCAGAGCGCTCCGTTCCCAGATCTATCCACCTTTGGACCCGTTGTCGTTTGCGGGGTCTGTTTCTACGTTTCCCTTACGGCGTCGTGGAGCTTAGAGGGCTATACGCATGAGAAATATGCGGATTCAACCAGTTTCCGTCCTCGTGGAGCCGGGGCCTCAGTGTTCACTATGTTGCTCAACGATACATCCACATGTTGACTGTTGGCTGGGATCAAACCCACAATCTTCTGGTTGAAAGGCGTCCACACTCCCTCACAGCCACAGTCGCAATTCTAGCAGTTCATCATCACAGCCGTTAATTCAAGAATGATTTCACTGGGTGGAATTTTCTCCATCACTAAAACGGAGCATTTTCTATTATATTTTGTAGGTGATATGCCTCCATTGGACTCCTTTGTTTACTTCTGGCTAGCGCGAGCTTTTTGAACATTAAAGCATGGAGACATGTCACAGTAGAGACATTCAATACAAATATGAACCTGAACATTTGCAGAATATGTCCTTGTTACGTTCCCTCCTGGTCTAGGGGTACCAAAGGGAAGTGACACAAATATAAAATAACCGGGCGAGAGAAAAGAGGAGAGGAAGCTGAGTTGTGAAGCCACAAGATGGTCTTTTAATTGAAAAAATAAATAAAGGCTCACCAGCCAATTTGCAAGGCAAACTAAGAACGACTTTCTTCTGAAAGAAAGTGACTAAATAGTCAAATGTACAAAGACACAAAGACACGACACATGCTGCACACATGTAGCCAGACGAGAAGGAAGAGAGCGACTGCAGCCTTTCTCAGCTCCCTTATGGAGGCCCTGATTGGGGATTGGGAGCACCTGAGGGAGAGGCTGCACCTGGAGGGAGACAATCAGCGGGAGAGGGGGAGGGACACACACACACACACACACACACACACACACACGCACACGCACACGCACACACACACACCCCAGCACCCACTACGGCACGTAATAGTCCTCTTTAATTAAAATAAGAAAACTTGGAGCAGTTTTCCATGTCCTACATAGTACACTAAAGTATTGTTTTTCTCCTGTATTTATTTGCATTGCATTTGATGATGGCGGAATTCCAAAAGTAAACAGGTTCCATTACTTACATTGTGATTCTCAGGTTAGGTTATTTTTTTTACCTGTACAGTAACTACTAATTATAACCCTTTTTTAAAACCCCTCCCAACCCTTCTTACACTTTGGGGCAAGAACAAAGCCAGAGCTGATGATGTAGCTCCACACAGGTCAAGCTATTTGTTTACCCTCCTCCAGCAAAGCCAACAACAACTTGTGAGCAAATGGCGCACAGCAGGCACTGTGTCACTGAGGCTGCAGCCACACGAGGACGATAACGGTCGTATCTGCTACAGTTCTCTATCAGATAGACGGTTCGGCCACACAAGGCCGACATGGAAACGCAAAAAACAATAACGATAACGGGTCCCAAGGTGGGTAGATCTACGGACGAAACGCTCTGGGGGCGATTTCGGTGCGTTTCCGTTATCGTCCTCGTGTGGCTGCAGCCTGAGTCTCTGCGAAGAAAGCGTAATTGTCCCAGTAATTAGGTGCTAACAACAGCAGAACAATGGGAGTGGACCACAGCTGTATGTAGAGAGCCTGAGAGGGGGTTGCACCTTCTGAGGTGTAATGAACCCCCCGGACCACCAATCAGGTGACGGCTGACTGACAGCCTTGACAACAATGCTCATTGATCCTGCTGTTTATTCTCTGCCTCTCATCTGATTGTCTACTCATAAAGTCGTAAACAGCGAGGTGAAGAAAACAACTGCTCAGATTACCTGCTATCTCAAGCCCCTCTCCCAATGGTGGAAAACCCATTCATATCTTGTATTGACTTTAGCAGGATAGGTTACAATCATCATTTATTAAAAAGACTCTACAGTAGGAACGGTATTTATTGGCTCCAGTTCCAATCGGCATTTAGTGAAACCCTTATTTTGGCCCAGTTATGATAAGCACATGTTGCAGTGCAAATGTAATTATTACAATCAACAGGGAATGGACAATCTTTATCATTTATTAAAGTATAAAACATTTAATGAATATGTTCTCCTCAAGACTCCATCGACAGAAACAGTCATTTAACCTCCCCGGTGATTGTAAAACACTTCATTTAATCCTGACAGAAACAGAAAAAACAAAACCATCTTTGTTGAAGAGTCTTTAAGAGAGATTGAATCAGTAACAGATGATAATAAAAGAAGCAACCATGGTAACATTTTAACAGTTTACAATGCTGCCTGGCACTTCTGTGAAGTTGAACATTACATATCACAAAATAAACCCTAAAAAGAATTTCTCTTCAATGGCAACGAAAAATACGTTTTGCCTATTTTGTACAGGTTTAGCAATGTTTAAAAACCTGCAACTACCTGCCAGATGACCCCTAACACATCACAGCCCCCCTGCTTCCACTCCTACTGCTATTTATAAAATGTTTACTTTATTATTTGCCCCTTTTGTTCGTTTTTTTGTTATAATTACATTACATGTCACTTGTTAGACGCTTTTATCCAAAGCGACTTGCATACTCAATACTGTGGGCAATCCCCACAGGAGCAATTTGGGGTGAAGTGTCTCAGGGACACAACGACATGCTGACTGCAGTGGGGTTCGAACCTGTGCTCCCCTGATCCCAACACCAACGCACTAACCACTGCGCCACAGCCTCCCATGAAGTGGCCTTGGGTCCCTTGAAAGACGCTATACAAATGTAATCTATTATTATTATTATTATTATTATTAATACTGGTGGGTGAAAGCCCTTCACCCCAAATGTGATCTTCAACAAATCTCCCTGTGCTTGTATGACCTCTCTGAAGCAGTGCTATGTAATCTCCAAGCTTTGTTCTTAGTTTCACAAATTAATATTGAAGTAAATAAATACACAAAGGGGTAAGCGGGTACACACCCTCATTCTTGCCCATTTATAGCAACATGATGAGCACATCTTGCAGTTAAAACATAATTACTCAAATCAACAGGGATTTGGACAATCATTACGATTTATTAAAGAACATTTAATGTTAGGCTCTCCTCAAAGCCGCCAGACGCCATTGACAGAAACAGTCATTTAACCTCCCCGGTGATTCTAAAACACTTCATTTAAACACGACAGAAACACAAAAACAAAACCGTCTTTGTTTAAGAATCTTTACGAGAGATTGAATAAGTAACAGATGATTATAAAAAGAAGCAACCATGGTAACATTTGAAGAGTTTACAATGCTGCCTGGCGCTTCGTGAAGTTGAACATTACATATCACAAAATAGAGCCTAGAAAGACATGCTCGTCAATGACAATGGGAAATAAGCTTTGCCTATTTAACGCAGGATTCCCAACGTTTAAAGGGGCCCTATTCTGCTCGTTTTCAGGTTCATATTAGTACTCTGTGCCTCTACTGGGACATGTCTCCATGCTTTAATCATGTGCTGCAGCACCTCTTTTCACCCTCTGTCTGAAACCAGAGCCCAGTCTGCTCTGATTGGTTAGCTGGCCTGCTCTGTTGTGATTGGTAAACCGTTTACAGATGACCCGCCCCTAAGCCTATCACAAATTGTTAGAGCTCTAGCATATAGTGTGAGTGCTACGTAGTGATGTCACTATGTCCCGGAAGAAAACAACAAGTCCTACAATGGAGGCGTTTCAGGAAGAGGGGAGGGAAAAACTCCCACACACACAGCCCCCCCCCCCCCCCCCCCCCCCCACACACTTTGGGATTTTAGCCATTGCAACCTATAGAACACACTACAGGAGAGGGAAAACCCATCCAAACAAACATAGGGGCCTGCATATACCTGCTAATTTTGGTAGGGGAAAGACCCTCACCCCAAATTTGTTCCAAAAAATCTCCCTGTGCTTGTATGACCGCTCTGAACCATTGCTAGTTAATGGAATATTTCCCATCCCAAGGCATCTCGGAGGAAGCTTTGTTCTTAGTTTCACAAATGAATATTGAAAGGAGTGCATTTGTGAGTGCCAAGCACAGAAAGAGAGCCTTAATTAGGCGCATCACAGACAGCCCATGATTGTCAGTGCTGTCAAAAACTGAGTGCATGTGGGTGGAGGTTGTGAAAGAGACAGAGGGGAAGTGTTTACCTGCATCGTTTGTGTGTGTGTGTGTGTGTGTGTGTGTGTGTGTGCTCCTTAATGCTGTGCAACAATTTACCCCCCCTCCCCCCTCATACCATTTAATTCAGGTTTGTCAACCTTCCTCCTACTCTTAATTTGCAGAAACCCTTATGGACAGTCGGTGGGCAACAACAGAGCTGGCATGGACTACGTTCCCAGAGAGCGGGGTGAGTTAGTGTGTGCGTGTGTGTGTGTGTGTGTGTGTGTGTGTGTGTGTGTGTGTGTGTGTGTGTGTGTGTGTGTGTGTGTGTGTGTGTGTGTGTGTGTGTGTGTGTGTGTGTGTGTGTGTGTGTGTGTGTGTGTGTGTGTGTGTGTTTTCTTCATTTAACAACATTTGTTCCATTGGCTTGTTAATAGAGCCCAGTCTGCCTTGAACAGCACACCTCCTACTGTTTTATATCTTTGTTTTTGCAGTGTATGTTTGCTTTCCCCGGGTACTAAAAAAAAGCAAATGAGAAACACATTGCGTGGAAGAAATCAAAAGATTGTTAATGTTGTGTAATGAAAAAACGAAGGACTTTAAACAACAAAAAAAGACGTGCGGATACACAGAGCAAATCCCCTCAGCTTGCCAGCACTATGAGGTACCTCACATGTCTCCCCAGGATAGAGTCCTTGAAAGCATGTGTCTTTTATAATATGGGTCCAGGAGCGCATTACAGACAGGAACGAGAGCTTTCAGTTGATACCCCCTATAGGAACGGTGAGAAAATAAAACAACACGAATTTGACCCCGGGGCTAACCGCCTGACAGACCTCCCCCACTACCGGCCAGTGTAATTTGTCTTCGCTACGTGAGCGCAAAGTCAGTCAATGGAAATGCTGGGTTTCCATGGAAACGATCTCGGGTAGCCCTTCCTCCCTTCCTTTTCCCCTTTCAAGGGCCCGGGCTCTGAATATCCCAGCATCCATGAAGTCATATGTCAGGAGTGGCGAGGCAGCCCCCCCCCCCCCCCCTCACGGCTGACAGGCCCATACGTTTGGAGGGCCGGCAATTATCATATTTGTCAGGTAGTGCATCAACGTGTTGCCGGTGATTTACGACGCCTAATGCTGACTCGTAGGGCTCATCGTTTGGGAATAAATTGCGCAGGAGCTGCAAGACGTGAGATGAGTTATGCATTATTTTTCTTCCAGTTGAAATAATCAATTCCTGGGAAGCTCATTTGTTATGGAAACGAAGCATTCTGTCGGAGAGGGAATTAGAGGAGAAAAGATGTAAAAAAGATTGACTCCTCACTAGGTTATTTCCTAATAGACTAAACGTATTGACCAATGGAGCCATTCATCACAGCCTGTAATGTTAGCATGTTGTGAAGCTGCACATTGACATTATTCAGATGGTCTAAATTATGTTCATGTCCAGGTAGTCGATAGCAGGAAATTAGAAAAAAGATATTGCCCCTAATGTCTAAGAAGTTGGCCATTATCAAAATTGTAATGATTGAATACATTTGAATGATTAACACAGTGAACACCACACTGTGCAAACACGAATAAATACAAGGCATACCATCGCTCTCGCAAAGAGGAGTGCCTTTGATATTTAAAATGTGGTAGGAATATGTAGCATGGTGAGATGTAGTAAGGAAGCAAGCCTTTTTAATTTTATGTGCAACTTATGGCACTTTATTTTAATTTAATTTGGACTTTTATTAGACATTATTACTTTAAATGATTATGTTTATATAATATATGATTATATAATATTTTATGATTTCATTGCACATTCTTACTTCTTATGTTTGTATAAATATTTAATTTAATGATTTTAATGAGTTCCAAAGAGAAGTATGCGAACCATAGTGTTTTATTATTTTAAAACATTTGTGTTTTTTCAAAATGTTTACAATCAATTCTTATTTTTGTATAATATCTTATCATATTTCATCTTTTATTGCACATCCTTACTTCTTATTTATTTAAATATTTATCAATATTATCTTTTTATTCTATTATAATTATTTTATGAAATACTGAAATGGAACTGGCCGAAACCCAATTCCCCCCGGGACACAAAAAGTAATTATGATTCAATCATGAACATTACCATCTGTATGTGTGAGAGAGAGCCGGAGACAGTTCCAACTATTTTGGCTTTAGCCTTAAAAAATGTACAATGCATTAGTTTCTAACTAGCCTTGGAAATAACAGCTTTTATTCCATTTAAAAGTTTACTTTTGGCCCTTAAATCAGGATTTGTTGCCAACATTTCTGACGCTATTAGTCCTTAAATGGTCATTTCCAAAGCTTAATACTGTAAAAAGACATCAGTCTGACTTGCATATTAACCACAACAGTTATCTGCTCTCAGGCTGAGTGTGTAGGCACTGGAAAAAGATGTATAAATATAATATATTCTGCGTAACATGAAGTACTCAGGAGTGCAATCACACTGACAGCATTGCATTTAGATGAGTATTTTAATAAATAACTCACTGTTTGCATTATAGATAGACGGGAAAAGTTTCCATTTAAAGAGTAAAAATGTATGCTCTCATCTCTCCTGGAGCACAGATAACACATTTATGAGGTATAGAAACCAAATCTCCTCTTGAGGCTATTTCGATTGCACTGCAGCTGTTATAGCTGCTTCCTATAGGTGTGTATTATGATAAAAGTCCAACACACACAGAGCTGCAAAACATCCGTCTTCCTAAAACCTGCAACACGTGAGCAGCGTCAAATGTGCATAACGCGTGAAATGTGTTTTAATGAGACGTTTTCTATTAATAGCCCGTAATGATTGGAATTTTCTGAATCATTCATGTAATTAGAAACATTTGAGCTGCAAATGATTCCTCACACATGTACACAACCCCTCTGTGGGGGAGTGTGTGTTGCGTTTTTTATTATCTGTGTGCGGCAGACGTCACTCCCCTGTTTTTGGATGCCCTCTATACTTGAATGGTTTGCATTAGGATGCGTTTAACAGTACTCCACTTTAATTAACAACATATTGGATAAGGGGGTTTCTGCGCTGTTGTTGATGAATGGGTGATAAGTCTGTTAATAATAAGATAATCAATGAAATGTAGCCTGGTTTTATTCTTAAACACATTTTTCTGCATCAGTTGGACCCCCTGCCTTTTTGTTTGTCACAGTGTCTCTCTGTTGTCTCCACAGTGGGAGGAAGTGAGCGGCTACGACGACTCCATGAGCCCCATCAGAACCTACCAAGTGTGTAATGTCCGCCAGCCCAGCCAGAACAACTGGCTGAGGACGGACTTTATACCCCGCAAGGGCGTGCTGCGCGTCTACGTGGAGCTCAAGTTCTCCGTGCGCGACTGCGCCAGCATCCCAAACATCCCCGGCTCCTGCAAGGAGACCTTCAACCTGTTCTACTACGAGTCCGAGGGGGACGCAGCCACCGACAGCAGCCCCCTGTGGAGGGAGAACCCCTACGTGAAGGTGGATACCATCGCCCCGGATGAGAGTTTCTCCCTCCTGGAGGCGGGTCGGATCAACACTAAAGTGCGCAGCTTCGGCCCCCTCTCCAGGGCCGGCTTCTACCTGGCCTTCCAGGACCTTGGCGCCTGCATGTCGCTCATCTCCGTCAGGGTTTTCTTCAAGAAGTGCTCCACCACTATTGCCAATTTTGCCGTCTTCCCCGAGACCGCCACGGGGGCAGAAGCCACCTCCTTAGTGATCGCCCCGGGGGCCTGCGTCAACAACGCCATGGAGGTGTCCGTCCCCCTGAAGCTGTACTGCAACGGGGACGGAGAGTGGATGGTCCCCGTGGGCTCCTGCACCTGCGTGGCCGGATACGAACCATCCTCGGACGGAACCCAGTGCCAGGGTACGTGTGTTGTTGTTTTTTTAACTAGATTGTTAAACAGTTGGGCAAACAGTATTCTGTATTCAGTATTCTCTATTGTACAGACAGACTTGAGAAGGGGAGATAGAGGGGGTGAGACCTGGCAAATGGTCCCAAACCGGATTTGATGATGGGGACCACGGCACAGTACATGGGTCGCCCGCTGTACCAATTGAGCTATATGGCGTCCATGTTATTTGTTTTTTTGTTACGGTATTTTTTGGGCCAGAGTGCCTTTTATGGAGATTTAGAGTTGAAAGGGGGAGATAGAGGGGGTGAGGGGTGGCAAATGGTCCCAAACTGGATTTGAACTAGGGTCCTCCACATGGGGACCACGCCACTGTACATGGGTCGCCATCTCTACCAATTGAGCTATATGGCGTCCCGTTTGTTATTATTTTGTTATTCTCTTAAGGTATCTTTTGGGCCAGAGAGTGCCTTTATTGGAGGTTTAGAGTTGAAAGGGGGAGATAGAGGGGACGACATTGCCTGAAATGTTCGGCTGGCTCAGGATTGGAACCGGCTTACTAGTCAGCGGACACTCCATATGGGCCACCTCTAACTAGTGAGCGATAAGGCGTCCCGGGTTATTATTATTTTATTTTGTTACGGGATTTTTTGGGCCAGCAAAAGCCTTTGTTGGAGATTGAGAATTGGATGGGGGAGATCAAGAGGACGGAAAATGGCAGTGGACACTCCATATAGGCCACCTCTAACTAGTGAGCGATACGTTGGCCCGCTTACGTGTGTTTAACAGACATTCAGACTTTCTATTGAACCAAACCTCCTTTATATGCTCGCTGCACGTCACCTCGGTCTGTGCCCTCTTCGCTGCATTTATTGTGCGGCTCCTGGAAAGGGGGTGAAGGAGGGTGGAGGAGAGTATGAATTAATGAGCTGTTGCAGAGAGGAGCAGAATACAAATATTGCGAGAGAGCGGCGCGGGAGGGAGAGAAAGATAGAATAGAGAGGCGACTCTTTTTGAGGAAAATGCAGATAATAGAAGGGAGAGGCGTCCGGAGAGAAAAAGAGATATTAGCAGAGAAAGAGAGATAGTGCGAGGTGTGAATTGCCCAAGATGGGATGGTAACAGCAGCCAAAATGAGAAGAATGAAAGGGAAGGGAGGGGGGGGGGGGGGGGGGGGGGGTGGGAAGGGGGGGGACGGGTTACAGGAAGTCAAAGACAGACAAGCGAAAGCCTCGTCTCACCTGGGCGTGAGAAATAGTCGACACGCGTTCCGAGAGCTCATTCGTTGCCATTTGGCGGCTCAAGGTTAAAAGCTTGCCGCCAACGCTTGATAAAAAGCTCTCCAGGGCTTCAGCCGGCGGTGGCCATGAGGAAGTGTAATTTCCTCCCGTTAGTTAATCTACAGGCGGCCACACTCATTAACACCATTCAGACCCAACGTGAGCCAACACTGCCACGCTAACATTAATCACTCAGACGCTTCATTTCTTACCCGCTAACGGAAGGAGGCTAACACGAGAGGAGACAATGGAAGGTGGTGGTGGGTGGAGGTGGTGGTGAGGGGGGGGCATTAGTGTATCGAAAACAGGAGAATCACCATGCCCTCCAAAAGAAGTTAATGGATTGAAAAAAGACAGCGTGGGTGATTCAGCACCCTCTTCCAAAAGGAGCGAAAGGAAAACAAACAAACGGAGGAAAATGATGATGCATTTTCTAATAGAAGTGAAATAAATCAGATGGCAGGGCCTTAAAGGTCTCGCTGAATTATGAGACAGAGAGGAGGAGAAGGGAAAAAAAGGAACGCATTTTCATCTTATCTTTGGCTTTTTATTGCAGGGCTATAGAGCTGCAATGTGGGGGCCATTAGCCGCGCTGATTTCCCTCAAAGTGTCATTGTTTGGAATTAGGGGTGGAAGTCGAGTTCAAACTGAAAGACCACTTAGCCTAACCAGTTAATCACACTCCATTGCTGGCTGGGATTTTTTACGAGGCCCTCACGCTGACGGGACAGATGTTTGCCAGACACCCCCACTTTTACACCACCAGTTAGGAATGTGGCAACAGTAAAATGTGGGGCTCTGGAGGCTGATATATCCAGACCTTTTGCTGCTAATCCCCTTTATCTGAGTCCTTCTTTAGTGTGGGCTTATGCTGGTTTATCCCTAAGACTCCGTATCAGCAACCTTCGCCGTCACGCTCTGGAATTCAAATGAACCGCTCGGACACGTCCTATATAATTTTCCGATATCATTTGCTAATTTCTCTGATGTCTAATTGTTGACAAAGTATACAGATTATTTACTTGAGTAAAAGTACCAATACCCCCTGTGAAAATACTAAATGTTCTAGTTAAATTACTACAGCGACAATGGTACTTAAAGGTCCCATGTCATGCTTTTCCGGTCATTACCCGTCCCCTTGTGTGTTATGAAGCTTTTTATGCATGTAAACGGTCTGCAAAGTCACAAACCCTCAAAGTACACCCTGTAGCGAGTAAAACTCTAACACAGAAAATACCTGTCTATGCTGCCCCAGAAAGCAGCTAGCCGCGCAACGTCCCGCCAACACGGCACCCAGACCCCACGCAGCATTCTCATCTGTTTGTCCTTACTGGTGTTATTTTCTGGTTGCTAATAAACGCCATTGTAACACATAATCACTGATGTTCCTCTGTAACGGTGGTAGACTCATCAGAACAGAGTGGGCGAGCTGACCAATCAGAGCACAGTGGGCTCACAGGGAGGGGGGGGGCAGGACCTCCAACAAGCCGTGTAGGACAGAGAGTGAATACACATACTATACAGAGATGCTGTATGAGAAACCAATGTGAGTTTGGAAAATTGCACAATATAAATCTATTCTAGTAGACCTCAACAATGGAATTATGATCAGTAGAAATGGCCATGACATGGGACCTTTAAGTAAATGTATCAAAAAATAAGAAAATATTTTAAAGCAAAAGCAGCAAAACTTTACATACAAGAAGCTGGAACTGTGAAATATTTTGTAACAAAAAACTTCTTAGCAAAATGACTGCCAATTAACCCACCCCTTGTTTATAAGTACTTAAATATAATGTTGGATGATGTAATCTATTCCAAACAATCGTATTAATATATTGTGTGTCAGAATATGAATTAATAAAGTAACTGGTAGATAAATCAGTAAAATAAATGTAGCATGTAACTACATTTGCTGCCAAAAGTATAAAGCAGTAACAAGTACAAGTACCTGAAATGTACCTAAGTACAGTACTTCAGTAAATACAGTATACTTACACTGAAAAAACTGAACCGTTGACTTTACTGTAATTAAATGTATTATGTCAACAGATTTCACATCTCAATAATATTGAGTTTAAAAAAAACATATTAGGTTTAACTTAATATTATTGCTTTCAACTAACCTAATACAGTTATGTGAAATCTGTTGACATAATGCATTTAATTAAAGTCAACGTTTCAGTTTTCAGTGTCGCTACTATCATTTGAACTGATTTATTGGCTTATTATGGAGTTGTTGTGCGTTGTGGACGCCCTGTTTGTATTCAGCAGTGTGGTTTGGAGAGCTGAGGACCAGACACTGATTGATGGGTTTAGGGTGTATCCCGTTTTCTCAGAAGCGTTCTCCATCCTTGTTTGTCTGAGTCCTGTCAGCGAGGGGGCCTATCTCCGTCTTCATCCTCCTCTTCAACGCGAGACTTAGCTGTCATCCCGGCTCTCTTTTATACTGGGAGATTATTGTCATCTGGTAGAGGGAGTGAAAAGGGAAGAGCACATGCAAATGTAAAGATAAGAAGCTTGTGATGAAGTGTTTGCCATCTCTCATGGACCTATCAACGCTTTTCGCATTAATATCGAGCGTCGCAGGTGCAGTTTTTGTTCAGATGTGACAGCCTCTTGTGTTTTAAATGACAAGCACATTCTAGTTTTTGTTCTCATTGTCTTTTTTGTTTTTGTTTTTTTTCTCCCGCCCATCCAGCTTGCATCCCTGGGACCTTCAAATCCAAATTCGGGGAGGGATTCTGCACCCCCTGCCCATCCAACAGTCGCACCAGTGCACGAGGAGCCAATATTTGCCCCTGCCAAAGTGGCTTCTACCGCGCTGACAGCGACCCCCCAGACTCCGCATGCACCAGTAAGTCATCGTCCACTGTGCAGGCTGCAATCCTAAATGTTGGTATTCTGAGAGGAGGCACAGGAAGCAGGAGTAATGTTTGGTGATTTGTCATTGCCATGTTTCAAAGATTCATTTAAAGGCTTTATTGTCTTATGCATAACAATTGTTGTGTCAACAAAAATCGTTATTCCCAGTACAACAAGGCATACAAACAGAAACAGAAGAAAATAGTACAACAAAGTAGTGTATGACCCAATGGGGCAACTAAAATGCAGAAATAAGTAAACTATGTACATGTAAAATAGAATAAGATGGAACAGAATGTAAAATGTAAAACTGTACAGTAACAGTTGAATAGAATACAGCTTATTGTAGCAATAGGTGGCATCTGTCATTGTGTTTAAGGGCCAACAGGATTCAAATATAGTTTTTTTCTGGCTAAGAAATCAGAGTTAAGATCTGTGGTGCTTCAAGTCATAAACCGAGAATATAATACCAAAGTGGCTTTTTTGCCTTTAAACTGTTACATGATTGTTGGGCACTTCTATTTTAGCAAATATTTCCAACAATTTGCAAACCATGTTGCTGTCGTCATACATCATAAATAGACTGCAATATTAAGCCACATATTTACAGTACACTTTTTGTCCGTTTTAACCAGCTGTCTGGATGTCGAGTGATCAGAGATAACTGCTGAGCAAACATGAGCGGCAGCTAAGCAGCACCAGAGAAACGCCTGTTTTAGCGTCAAACTGCTTCACTCAGTGTTATACCAGTTTGATTCACATGGTCCGGTTGTTTAAGGGAAGTGTAGACCTCTGCTGATGATTCGGCTCACGGTAAACAATGTTATCCTACTCGGGAGAAGGATCCTGAAATGACAAACCCCTATTATGCTCCTTCACAATGCCACAAATCACCATCTTTTGTTATTGTTTAGGCAGAAAATTACATATTGTGCGTTTACGTGGCCAAAAGCTAATCTATATCTTTATAGTAACAAAACGAAGGGCAATGTGAGAATGGGAAAGGAATCGCTTTTAGTGATTTGCTTTTTTTGTGTGAAAAAGCTCTAAAAACACGCTCAGCCCCAAACACAGGACAGATAATGTTAGCCACTAGCTAGCGCACCATGTGTCGTATTTAGCTAAAGAGATAGCTAATTCCCTCGCTCCATGATCCAAATGGGAACGGTCCGTTTGGAGGTAACTAGTCTCTGTGTTGCTGACCGCCTCTGAGAGGAGTCCCGGCAGTGGGACTGATGGAGAGCGACATGTGCTGCCTTGACCGTGTAAAATCCCCCCCCCAGGGGCCTCCGGCGCGTTAAATGACACACAGGGCCCGCAACTGTCTTCCCCAGATCCTCGTCACAGGAACACAGTGGACTCTGACATTGACCAGCGCGCACAGAGACTCAAGCAGCACCTCCGACTCAACACACACAAACACACACACACACAAACACTCTGACAGCCCGTCGGGACAGAGCTGTCAGAGCTGTGCCAAGCTGCCTGCGCTTTGTGTTGCCTAAGAGAGGCTCAGCCAGTCAGTGGCCGGCAGCTTGGACTCAGCGTGTGTTTCAGACGGGTGTCCAATTAGAAGAGCCTCCACTCTGAACCGTGCTCGCCTAATTATAAAAGACGGGGTGAGGGAGCGCGTCTCAGGGCGAGCCGGGCCCACGAGCTGAACTCCGAGGACAGGCAGTCTTGGCCGACAAGCGCTGTTGGCTTCCCCCGTCTCCCCCCCCCCCCCCCCCTCTCCGCTCTGTGACAGGTTCTGCCACTGGAAGCTTAGAGAGAGGGCCCTTCTCTTCTTTCGCTGTGAAAAGATGAAAAACATGCTCGCTGAACCAATCTCTGCTGCCTCCCTGCGCGGTTATCACACCTTATCCAGCATTTCAAACACTCGGCATTCAAATCGCAGCACTTCATACTGAACCGTGGTGGCCCTGGGTTTTACTGATACAAGAACATGACGTTCTACCAAGAGTGGATTAGTTCCTCATGCAACATGAGGGGGGGGGGGGGGGGTATGCATAGGAATGAATCATAAAGGTTTATACTAAGGCTGGGGAAAATGTATCCATGTATGAATCCAGATTCTTAAGATTCTGAATTGATTCACTTTTTTAAAACCCTTTGTTTTTTATATCAATAAGACAGGCATCCTTTACAAAATTACACCAAAATATTTATTTTATTTTCCTTTTTTTATTTTTATTTCATCAAATGTTCTTTTATTGACAAGAATAAAAGGCAGCTAGACTAAGCTTACAATATTTCTTTAATGATTATTTGTAATATAGGCAGCATTTTAAACCTTTATTTGTAAAACTTGAACTTGGATATGGATATCATTGAGTATTGATATATCCTTAAAATGTAATGCCATACTTCCTTTTGCTGCCTTCTTACAGAGATATTAAAACATTTATATCTCCATAGAGGGTGTAAGCACTGCATAGGGAACATGAAAAAAGCCTCACTTGTGTGTTTTTCTTATCCGCCTGCCCACCTTCTTAAACACCTACGTGTGTGTGTGTGTGTGTGTGTGTGTGTGTGTGTGTGTGTGTGTGTGTGTGTGTGTGTGTGTGTGTGTGTGTGTGTGTGCGTGTGCGTGCGTGTGCAGCGATCCCCAAGGCGCCTCGCAACGTTATATCCAGCGTGAATGAGACCTCGCTGTCCTTGGAGTGGGAGGAACCCGAGGACACGGGCGGGAGGAGCGACCTGGTCTATAACGTGGTGTGCAAGAAGTGCCTGAGGGACCGCAGCCCCTGCACGCGCTGCGACGACAACGTGGACATCGCCCCCCGCCGGCTGGGGCTGAGGCAGAGGAAGGTGGTGGTGAGGAACCTGCAGGCCCACACCCGCTATAGCTTCGAGGTGCAGGCTGTCAACGGGGTCTCTGGGAAGAACCCCATCCCACCCGTCTACTCCACGGTCAACATCACCACCAACCAAGCGGGTATGTACTTTTTATCATTTTTTAAATTTTATTTAGCTTTTATCTTTGCGACTTACAATAACTGCAATTAAGATACAACAGCAAGAATCCTGCAAGTACATTAGATTTCAACAAGCCAAACCATTGTAAGAGTTAGTTCATTGGCTCCAAATAAGCCAAACCATTTTAAGGTGCTACATACAGAATTTTGAATGTTTTTTTATTGGCCATGATGCAGTGGAAGCAGATGAGTGTTTAGTCTGCGGCGGAAGATGTGTAGACTTTTTGCTATCCTGGTCAACATTTATGTATAAAGAAAGCTGGACACTTCATTGGGTCCTCGTTCTTTCCTGAGAGTTGCTCAGAGGCGCATGAATGCAAAATGGCCTGACTCTCAAGAGCAAAATTATCTGGGCCGTTAGAGCATGATCACTTTCGTTTTCCCTAAGCCCCGCCTCTAGTCCTCTCTGTCACGGCCCGCCTCAGTCAGTCACATGATGGAGAGGTAAAATAACTCAGTATTTTACAACGTTTAAACCCCAAAGATTTAAAAAAGGGATATTCCTGTGAATGTAATTGATAGTTAATTTAGGTTAAAAAAAATATACGCTGTTTTACAAACATCTCTTTTCCAATGTAATTTAATGGGGAAAAGTATATTTAGGACCAATGAGGTCACGGACTGACACTGAAGTACTACTTTAAAGGTCCACTATTATACTATTTTTCAACAATATATTATAGGTCTCAGATATATACAGAACATGTCTCTGAAGTGTTTGGCTGGAATTACCAAACAGATCACCCATTGCAGCATCCCATAAACCCCTCTGTTTCAGCCCTGTTCCAAAAGTGCTGATTCTGTGTCTGTAGCTTTAAATGCTAATGAGTTGCTGCTGGCCACGCCCCTCTGAGAGATAATTAGTTAAAAAAATACAGTGGTGCTCTAGGAAAAGATTCAGATGATAAGGTGGGGGGGTGTTACCTTGGTTGGTTATTGGCCAATGGTTGCACAACCCAAAAAAACATTGTGACATCACAAAGTGACCAAAATCTGATCAGCTAATTTTCAGACAGGTTTTAGACGGATCAGGACAAAAACAGAGAGAATCTTTTCTCGTGAAACTTTCCAAATCTCTTAACACAAAGGAGACACATATTTACGGATAAAAGACTTGAAAAAGTGGATTTTGCATAATAGGTGACCTTTAAAGCAGATGTGTATCTCTGAAGTTGGGCTGAAACGGTGGAATCGTTTATCAAACAACATAAAGGGCCGTATGAACAACAAAAGTAAAGTATTGGCAGCTGGGATTGAGTAAAGGGCAGGTAAAATAAGACTTTCTTCTTTCTGCTCCTTTCCATCACACATTATATGAACTGCTGGTGGAACAAAAGTTGTTGTATCACCGTTTGGCCACTATAAATGTTTTTCTCCACCGCTCAGTGCATTTCCTGGGCTCGTTCCACCATTTTGGAGTGGCCAGCCGGTTGACTGAACCCTAACATGTAGGAAGGACCGGATCCATTCCCAGTACAATAGGCCAGTACCAGTGTCCTAAAGGGTATTCAGGCAGCTACTAGTAACCAGTGAAGAGATTGGATATTCTTAGTAGAAGGAGATCTATCAATGCCATTGGATGTGTGCACGGACCAAGTTAATACATAGAGATGCTCCGATCAATACCACTTAACATCTCAATGAAACGGGCTGGTTAGTGGGTCCAGCCTTCAGTCGATGTCAATGAGTGTCCTAATGAGTATCCAGACCCGTATTAACACCAGCAATAAACATTGAGAGGTAGAGATGGAAAACTGTCCAATGCAGCACTTTTTGAGAGTGACAGGAAAGGCAGGTAAAGAGTTAACATATATTTAATATCTCCACTGGCAGCATTCAGCAGTCTGTCAGGCAGGCGTCTGACGTTACATCACTGACAATGTCACCTTTCAACATCTCCACTTAATATTTGCAGCGTCATCATCAACCAAACTGCTCAGCACCTTTCACAGACTGTAATTACTCTCCCAGTTAACCTGCACTTAATCCACCCTGCTGCAGTTTATGGAGCCGGGACAATGACTGTCAATTGAGTCAATTTCAAGCCTCACAAATCAATAATCTGCAGAACAGTGAAGGTGACACGTGTACCGTTTTTCTTAAACCGTTCAGGTTGGAGTATTTCGAATAATAATTATCTTACTCTGATGGTTTGTGACTTTGAAAGACAAAAATCTTGGTAACTTAGAAGATGTGATACCCCTAACTCGCAACTGTCCAGTACCTTGAAGTAGGGCTGTGCAATTAATCGTATCTTAATCGCAATTACGATTTTGGCCTGCCACAATTACAAAAACAACATAATCGGAAAAAACGATTATTTTGCTTTGCTAGGTTGTGACAGTGCACTGCAACATATTTGATCTCATTTATTTGTATTTATCATATTTATATATGTTTATTAGCTTGTTGAAGTGCGCTCCAAAAATATTTGTTGATCTTGTTTATTGGTATTTATTATTTTGATATTATTTATTTAAATGTAAATATAAATGTATCATTTATTTTATTTATTGGTTTTTCAGTTGAATTATACGTTCAGGGTAATCAACAGTTATAAGATACTGTTCAAATGATTATTTGTATTTTTTTTTAAAGTTCAATAAATTGATGTTTTCAAAGTCAATGAATAATCGTATTAAATAATCGTGATGTCAATTATTGACCAAAATAATCGTGATTATGATTTTTGCCATAATCGCACAGCCCTACCTTGAAGACATAATATGTGACAATTATATCAAAAAATGACTAGAACTACGTTATAAGTATTGTTGAGTCATGTACTTACTTTATTGCAGGTTTTCAAATATTCTCAAAAAGAAATCCTTAATTCTAATCAAGGTAACAATCTGTTTCATTTGGTCATATGTTAAGGTATTTATCTGAGCAACTCCTTAGTGACCGCATCAGCATGGGGTTGTCTGACGTAAATTGGCATAAATAGATTTTTTATTTTAAGCCACATTGATACTTTGGTCGGTTTTAATTATGTATTTTAACTGGAAGAAGGATTTAAGTCATCAGATGCCTGGATCTTAAGTTATCGTGTCTGAGAAAACGCAGAAGAGAATCTCCAGAAAAACCCAGATTTTTGACATGGAAAGGGCTTTATTCAGTGTTTTTATCAGTTTAAATCACCTGGTCTGTTTGATTTGGAGAAGAAGAGTCCTCTGTGGATTATTCAGCTCCAAGTAAAAAACTCCTGATGGTCTGGATCTTATTTTATCAGAAAAACTAGCTGAGCAATCATTAGTGGCTTCTGGGCTTGCAGCCTCTTGAAGACATCTATTTTCTGTCGGTTTGAGAAACACTGATTTCTAGCACTGAACTGCTTTATCAGTGTTTTTCCCATTTTAATCACTTGGTTTGTTTTGAAGACCAAGAGACCTCTGCAGATAATTTGGCTTTCGGTTAGAACTTCCTTTACAATGAAAAATAAAGGACTCCAAACCGGGAGAAGCTGATTGGAATGACAAACTGCCACGATTCCACACTACTCTACTATTCCACTCAACTCTTGTCTTTTTGTGTCTCGGCAGAATTTTGTACGCTTAATCTGTATTGTTAACCGTGTCTTCTCTGATGTCCCTCTGCAGCACCTTCAGCAGTGCCCACCGTCCATCTGATGCGCTCCACCTCGGACACTCTCAGCCTTTCGTGGCTGCCCCCTGAGAAACCCAACGGGGTCATCCTCGACTACGAGATTAAATACCATGAAAGGGTAAGGTTTTACTTTTTATCCACTGCCTTAATGTAGGTCACAGTGCCCGCCCTATTGACTCTAAAACATCTTATTTGTCCGCCGAAGCATTTTTTATCAATGCTGAAAAATGTTATATTGAAATGCGATGTGTGTGGGGGGGACTGGTAGATTCTAAAAATGTCTATTGGTAAAGAGTATGGGCCGGTCCAATTCAGCAACTGGTAATGTAAGTGCTGCAACATTGCTATTGATTAAATTATCTAGTGAAGTGCTGCAGATATTATATGGCCATTTTATAACTTTTGATGGTAAAGACCTTGTAGGGTGTTTGGACTGAAAACAGCACTGCATTAAAATATTGCTAGGGTCTGCTTGGCATCACCGAGGTCAGTTTTAGTAAGTGATCCATTTCTTTGAAGGCTTTATAGGCAGGAAAGATGCATTTACATATATACAGTATGTGATTAGCTAGCTCAGTGCTTTGCAGATTGAAATAAATTGCAGCGAAAGTTGAGCCACAGTTTAACTTGTTGCTGGACAACCATGCTTTTAGAATTTGAGAATGTAATGATCGATAATCAAATAATAGCAAGCTTTTCCACAGGTGAAAATTACAGGATAAAATAAAAATGAACTATTGTTCAAATAGAGAGCAATAATGTTAGCAACCGGAGATTTGGCTTGTTCTATACAAAAAAAAAGCTCAAGCAGCAAAACTTCTCAGTCTGAAATAAACAATAATGTGTTTACCGCTCATGAAATCAACTTTAACTGTTTCAAAATCTAAATAGTATTACTACATAATGCTAACTACAAACTTAAATATAACTAACTGGTCTGTTCTTTGACTCCAGGGCCAGGCGATGTCCCACACTGTAACATCCCAGCACAGCTCTGCCAAGGTGGAGGGGCTGAGGGCCGGCTCGCCCTACGTGGTGCAGGTCAGAGCTCGCACTGTTGCCGGATACGGACGCTACAGCAACCCCATGGACTTCAGCACGAGCCTTCACAGTACGGACACTATCTCTCATAAAGGGCTGTTTACACCAGGAACGATGATAAATAAGAGAAGCATATAAGAGCTAAATTGCCTTGTTTAAACATAACTCTGAATACGTATGTGAGTCAAGTAAAAGTTCAATAATACCAATGACAACCTCTTTTATCTCCAATGTGTTTACCTAACCCTTTTATTCTTTGTTTCAAATTTGAACTTTTCCCAGCAGATTTTGGAAATAGCTGACTTCATGTGGAATTAGCGAATTAGCTAACATGCTATTTCACTAAATTCAGTTGCTTGTCTATGCTGATTGATTTATGAATGGAACTTTTTTTTCTATGTGAATTTGACAGCATAATAAGCACACCACACTGCGGAAAATGATGCTAACAGTCGTGCTAAGCTATGCACTTTAGCCCCAAGCTACGCGCTTTAGCCCCAAGCTACGTGCTTAAGCCCCAAGCTTCCAACAGCTAAAGCTAGTGGATATACCATTTATATAGTTCAGCACTGTGGTTGTGGGATGGTCTCTGCCGTCCACTTGATTGAGAGTTATTTTCTTATTTCTTTTAATGTATTTTGGCTATTTTTAAAGTTATTGTTCTTGGTGTGGACAGCCTTAACAGTCTGTTCTTGATGTCTGCTGCTACAACTTCCTTAATAAGGGTTCTGGCTTAGTAGTTTTTATGGTGGCCATTACACTTGTGGAACAGGCCGCCCTTTAATCTTTTTAGTGTTCTTGGTGGTATTTACTCATTTGTGTGTGTGTGCGTTAATGCTCCAGGTGACCCTCAGAAGTCGGTGCAGGACCAGCTGCCTCTCATCGTCGGCTCGGCCTCCGCGGGTCTGGTGGTCATTGTTGCGTTGGTGGTCATTGCTGTGGTCTGCCTTAAGTAAGTGTTTGATGTTTTACTACTCAACTACAGTACATGTTTCATTTTATTAGACGCTGAACAAAGAGGCTCATTAAACTTTAACATGCTTTCAAAAAGAGCTCTGCCAGAGAAAAAAAAATGGAGAGTCTCTTCCTGGCAGTCTGAGATTTCATCTGATGGTCGAGTTAGATATTAGTTTAATTTGCTGTAAGTATACAGGGTCGAGACTGATGCATGTGAATGTGACTTTTGTTTGTATGTTGCTTGTTTACAGGAAGCAGCGCAGCGGCTCGGAGCTGGAGTACACGGAGAAACTGCAGCAATACAGTGAGTCCATGTGTTAAGCTCTTCTGGTGATGCCAGTACAGTTAACCAACTGATTCAATCAATTATCCAATCACCTGATTGAGTCAGAGAAACATTTTACAATTTTCACAGAGGAAGTCCAGGCCATGTTGTCTTCCTGATTACTGTCACGCACTACTTTGTATATGTGAACTTTATTAGACATGTTGTTTGGACATGGGAGTGGAATCTGTCCTGTAACCTCACTCTCAGCAGGAATGCAAATTCTTACCAAAAATGTCAAATGAAAACATATAAATAAGAAAAAAATATATAAATAAAATAAATACAAAAATATGATTAAACCAAAAATATATTCAAAAAACAACTGCTACAGATAATTGACCGATATTAGATAAGTAAAAATCGGCAACTTCATTGATAATTGGTCAATCGTGGTTACATATCATAAAACAAATCTTTAATAAGGAAATCGTTGGTTTCTAGACTGACAGAAAAATACCAGCTTTGTGTACCTGCAATGGAAATGTTTTCATTATTTTGTGACATTTTATACACAAGCGACAATTCGATCAATCAAGCAAATAACAGGCTACTATAGTTTTTCTACATTTGCCATGTTGTTTACTTTGTCGAGATGATAACATTTCTTATCCATTTTTTTTCCTCTCAGTTTCTCCGGGTGTCAAAGTCTACATCGACCCGTTCACCTACGAGGACCCCAACGACGCCATCCACGAGTTCGCCAAAGAGATAGACATCTCCTGCGTGAAAATAGAAGAAGTCATCGGTGCAGGTACACCTACGCCGCTTGTTTTTGTCCGATAAGCTGGGAAAGGTCTCAGGTTTATGAATCATTCATCTGAGCAGGAGTGTGCCATAGAGCCTCGAGGTCTGTTCTGTAATGGCGCGTTTCCACTGCAGCGCGGAGCCCCGTTTAAGAGAGCTGTGACGTCAGCGGCCCGTCTTTGGTTGCGTTTCCACTTGGCCTAGTACCGGCTAGCGGGTCCTAATTCACAGTTTTTCTGGCCCCATAAAATCGTGGTTCTAGGGCCAGAGACAACGAGGCTGAGTCGGGCTGAGTATGCTAAACTAGAGAGAGCATCTCTGGCAAGGGGGCTACAACTACAACAAGATGAACATATTTGACCGTGATTTAATTGTAATACACGTTTCAAAATGATGCCGAAGTAACAACATACTGATACCGGTTAGTCAAAACCATGAATTAATGCTTTGACAAGTCTGCAGACAGACGGCAGGCGAAAAACCTTTTAAAGTGCGTGTTGTCTAAATGGAGATCGGCTAAGCTAACGCAATATATGCTCCGACCGTCCACGCTCACAACAACGGCCTATACAGACATAAATAAAGCAGCGACTGTATTCGCCATGACACAGGCAGTCTGTGGTTTGTACTTGTTTAACTTTTGTCTAGTTTCTGAACATATATGAGGAGCTGTGAGCTCTGAGTGCTAACAGCTAACGGCTGTGTTGTTTTTCTGGGGTTCTCATTGAAGATGACGTCACGGCTCCGCCTACACTGCGTTACTATAGATAGCGCCCCAGGTCCTAAACTGTAATGGGAATGCGCCATGAAGTGAGCCAGTCCTAACGAGGCCTAGCCATACCGAGCGAGGCCGTGTAGTGGAAATGCGCCATAAGAGAGTCCTCTCTGGGAGAAGGGTTAGGATTCAAAGAGTGCATGAGAGCTGCTGGTGGGAAGGATTGAAGTAAAAGTCTCCTCTGAAGCTCTTCCCCCTCTAGTTTTGTTTTCTTCCTCTCCAGCGGCATGTTGTGTCCTAACGTCACCTCAAATGACAGTCTGCTCCTGCTCGTTCAATCTTCCTCCTTTTTTTTCTTTCTCTCTCTTTTTCTCTCCCCTTATAAACACTCAAAGACACCATTCGCAAAACACCCAAGTTCCTGGTCCGTCCCCTGTCTCCCTCCACCGCTCCCAGGTTCCACTCTCACTCGATATGGGCCACTCCCTCTCTCCCCAACATCTTTGACCCCGGAGCCCCCGGCCTCTCCTCTTCTCTTTTCTAATACCTCTCCCACAGTTGAAGCCGACCCTCAACTCTTTCAAAAATCAGCTCCTTCACTCCCGAATCCGACCAGTAACGTTCCCTCTCCCCGCACTTTTCCCCACCCCCAACTTCCTCTTTCCGCCAACCCTTCCTCTGATCACTCAACCCCTCCCCCCCTCCATCACCCTCACCCCCCTCACCCCCTCACCCCCCCCCCCCCCCCATCTTGTTCTCTCAAACCCAGGTGAATTTGGCGAGGTGTGCCGCGGACGTCTGAAGCAGGCGGGTCGCAGGGAGATGGTGGTGGCCATTAAGACGCTGAAAGCCGGCTACACCGAGCGGCAGAGGCGGGACTTCCTGGGCGAGGCCTCCATCATGGGCCAGTTCGACCACCCCAACGTGATCCGGCTGGAGGGGGTCCTGACGCGGAGCTGCCCCGTCCTCATCATCACGGAGTTCATGGAGAACGGAGCGCTCGACTCCTTCCTCAGGGTGAGCGTCACAACACCTCCGACAGAGAACATTACTTTGTGTTCCTATCAAAGCGGAGAGGAGCGCACACACACAGAAAGTCACTCACGACACCTCTGCGTTATCAGAATGTTTGACTCTCTTTTTAAACACCCCGAGGCGTTTACTTGCCGACTGATAGAGATGAAATGCGCAATATACCGCCTGGAGACAAGCATGGTGTCTTTGCCTTGACGTGAGTGAGTGATGCTGACAGGAGCTCCAATGCACAAACTCCTGGTGGATAAACGCCACATGGCAGACCTTTGGATACGTTTGCTTCAGTGTTTTCGAATCTTTGTTCAACTACAGAACGCATTACTGATCAGAGATTACGGTTCAGACCATCCACCTACACAAAGCGCTGAACAAAGGCAGGATGAGAAATGAGGTGTCACACAGTACATTTAAAGCTGCGTGGGGGCTATTACGTATCATTTACGTTTAATCAAATGTGTTTTTCTGCGTGGCTGCACTGTAAAGAAGTCTACTTACTGTAACAGTTAGGCTGGGTGAGGATCCTTAATGCTGCTGCTCCATCGATTGCCAAGCTGCTGGAACAAAAAAGCAGTTTATCTTTAAATGGTGTACGGCTACTGTTTCAATAGATGATGAATCCATGATTTTGATGAGCTTTGACATTGCCTCCTGTCTGGGCACAAAAAAGCTTAATGGCAAAATGCATACAATACCAGGGCTTGGTATGTTGTCTGATATTTGTTTATACTAATTAGAGCGGCAACAATTAATCGACTAATTGATTAGACAAGTATTTTCATTATCAATTTATCGCTCAAGTAATTTCAAGCAGAATGTCTGAAGATGCTGTTATCGGTCAAGAAAATATCTATAATATGGAGATGTTGTGCTTATTTTTGTTATATAACATATAACAGTGAATATCCTTGGGTATTGGACTGAAAAAAGGTATTTAAAGACATATCCATGGATCTTGAATACTGTTTTTGAAAATGTTCACTATTCTCTGACCTTTTTGACCAAAGATTAATTGATTTATCTAGAAAATGTTCAGCAGATTAATCAATCACTTATTAAAATATTATTATTATTATTACATGTCACTTGTAAGACGCTTTTATCCAAAGCGACTTACATACTCAATACTGTGGGCAATCCCCACAGGAGCAACTTGGGGTGAAGTGTCTCAGGGACACAACGACATGCTGACTGCAGTGGGACTCGAACTTGCTATCCCCTGATTCAAAGTTCAGCGCAATAACTTCAGCGCACTATCCCACTGAGCCAAAGCCTCCCATAAATGTACAAAATATAGAAACGGGAAACGATTTTGGTAAATCCTTTATACAACATACACTTACACGCTAATAAAAAAAAACCTATTTAATAACATAACTTTGCCTGAACAAAATGCAGTCTAATATGAGTTAGTTAGTTCAAATACAAACAAAGATTAAGAGACTTCAAAGCTAAATATGACTACTTAACTGCAGAGCTCATTCATTCACACAGATAGAATAGAAATTGTAAAAGGCTATTTTTTAATGTACAATCCTAGGCTTTCACCAACTAGCGATCCAACTATTGTTGAGCTAGGGTGGAGGGCCAACTTTTACTATAGTGTAAGCTGCAACCAAACAACCTACTTAGTGGGCCTTTAAATAATGTATACAAAAATGTAACTCTCTAGAATGTGTCAATAGTTTTCTTTTTCCCTCAATTCGTTTTTGGCAACAAAAACATACAGCATATGTTACACTGCTATGTTTTAAATCACAACTGTGGTTTAATTGTATTCTCTCACACAAAAACAAAAATGTAACACAAGGGCTGAAAAGAGCCTAAAACATGACTTTGTTTTTCTTAGACTGAGAAAGCTCATTTGCAATCGCTCCAACCATTCATTTCATTTTCAGTTAATCTAACTGATATCTAGCCAAACAGTCAGTTATCAATCATCATTTATGAGAAGTCATTAAATACATCTGAGAGCCCAGCCTGAGCCTCTTCCTGCTTCTCACCCACTCCTCTCAGTCAGCTGTCCCACAAATAACACAGAGTCCGCGGCCTGTGCTGTCCTCACCCCCGCTCCCGCCACTTTCACACTCCTCTGACTCAGACCAGCAACCCTATAGAGTTAACTCACACACAGACACATAAACCATCCATGTGTGACACACACTCTCTACTGCAGCTCCCCAGAGACATGGACACACTCCCGTCTAAACGACATATGCACATGTAGAAGCATTACACACACACACACACACACACGCACACACACACACACACACACACACACACACACACACACACACACACACACACACACACACACGCAGGCGGCTTTGAAGGCCTGCTATGAATCACGCCTGTTTACACTTCCATCCATTCCGGCTTATTTGCTGTCAGACTTCATTGGACTGTGCCGACTACAAAGCAGAATGTTTATGCTTTTGTCATGTCACGCCTTGTGTTCTGTGCTGTGTAGTCAAAGAAGGGATTGATTAAAAAAACAAAAACATTTATTATCAGGTCATGAAAGCAGTTTGAGCCTCGCCCAATCCATCTTTCTTTACATCAGCTGATTGTGTATTGACATTCGATGGATTGGTTTCAATTCACACACATCAGGCTTCCCGTGAGGCTTCGGCACGCTGGAGTTCTGATTTATTACTATGTGGAGTTTATCCCACTGTGTCACGCTTTGCACGCGTGGAGAATTGTAAATTAAACCCTGAAAGCCCCTAATCTCACATTTGTTTCATGCTTCTCAAATGTTAACATAAAAGGGCACAAAAATCCTGCAAAATCAGGCACTTTAAAAACGAGAGAAGGCTTTGAGCGACATCCCATTCTAATTCCGTCGACGGGACGATTTCGCTTTAATGTTCGCAAGCGTGAAAAATGCGAACAAAGCTCCGCGCTAACATCCGTTGCGCCTGTACCTGGTTTGTTGCAGAGTGGAAGCAAACCCCCCTGCTGTTGTCTGGTTCTGATTCCAGCTCTGCAGCTCCCTGTCTGTTGTCTGTGTGTCGACATAAAGCCTTTATGGGTTTAGCAGGACACTAAAGAGTCTAATTCATCAGCTAATTGGACAGCATGCGTGAAAAGGTCAGCTGTCAGTGAGTGTCAGGAGCAGCCGTGAAGCGTTATGACAGATGTCATGTTTATGTGGCCTCAGTGACTGATCGGCTCTCTGGTGCCTCATCCTTATCTCCCCTTCTCCTCCCCACCCTCCACTTTGCAACACATCCCCATTTTTCTTTCCAATAACCGCATGTTTTCTCCGTCTCCCGCTGTGTTCCTGCAGCTGAACGACGGGCGCTTCACCATGACGCAGCTGGTGGGGATGCTGCGTGGCATCGCCGCGGGGATGAAGTACCTGTCGGACATGAACTACGTGCACCGAGACCTGGCCGCCCGCAACATCCTGGTCAACAGCAACCTGGTCTGCAAGGTGTCCGACTTCGGGCTGTCCCGCTTCCTGGACGACACGTCAGCTGACGCCACTTACACCAGCTCCCTGGTGAGGGCTGTGTGTTTGCACACTCTATTTAATTCAGCTTGTTAATCCCCTACTTGTTTCACATGTGCATAATGGATGCATGTGTGGCTGTTCATGTGTGCCAATATTTGCGTTAGTTGTTTAAAGTCTGTATGGCTTTTTGCTAGAGGTGGGGGAAAAATACATTCATAGAGGAATGGAGATTTTTTTATCTGCAAAGATTCAGATTGCATTTTTTAAATGTTTTTTCCTACAAAAGAAACTTGCTTGAACATAATGCTACTTACAGTTTTGTAAAAAACTAGTATTGTATTATAAAATACATGTTTTGTTTACAATTGAATTTTTTATTAGCCGGTTTCTCAGCAATAAAATGCATCTAGCCTATGAATCGAATCATTTGAGAAATAATTGATTCATAAGATTCGGAACTGTTTCATTATTTCACCAAAAGCATTTTTGTGTTTACCTTTAAAATAATCTAAATGTAGTTTCTAATGCCATAGCCACTATCTTTGAAAAAAACCGGACTGTTCAAATCAATCCATATTTAATACAATCTGTAGTTGATGCCATCCCCCTTTGCGTGTGTGGCTGGATGAATGGCTTGATACTACAGAGTGTGGTCTTACTATACTGCATAAAATACAGTATGCACTGCATGTGTAGTGTTCAAATGTAATTTGACTGTATTTGTGTGTGTGTGTGTGTGTGTGTGTGTGTGTGTGTGTGTGTGTGTGTGTGTGTGTGTGTGTGTGTGTGTGTGTGTGTGTGTGTGTGTGTGTGTGTGTGTGTGTGTGTGTGTGTGTGTGTGTGTGTGTGTGTGTGTGTGTGTGTAGGGAGGGAAGATTCCTATCCGGTGGACGGCGCCAGAGGCCATCGCCTTCAGGAAGTTCACCTCCGCCAGTGACGTGTGGAGTTACGGCATCGTCATGTGGGAGGTGGTGTCCTATGGGGAGCGGCCATACTGGGACATGAGCAACCAGGATGTAAGTTAGCCAGATAATGTCATGGTGCAAACATGAACCTATAGAAAGTGGGTCAAATACCTGGAGGCAATCGGGAGGATCCTTGAAAATGTTGAGGCTTCCATGTGGTCTCAAGTGTCAATCAACCCCAAAGACTGTATTTCCAACATATTCTAATGAATATTCAGGGAGTTTTATGTTTAAGTTAAGTGCCGGCTGAGAGCTTATTTTAATTTCCAGCGGTACACGTTGGACCTGGGCCCGCTTTACTGTCTTTATCTCCTCATTGCAGATGCTGGTGCAGCTGTGTGTCTGTGTTCTATTTTTTAAACCACTTTATTTACAGCCCTAGCCTGCCCACCCTCTACAAATCCATACTGCAAAGCCTCCCTCACACACAAAGGCAAACTCGGGAAAATCCTTTTCTTTCTGCTTTTTAACGGGCCGTTTTACCTGTAGGCTATCTGCACTGCACAGACATTGTAACTTCAGCAGGAAAGAAAACGAAATCTCTTGCTTCCTCCTCCTTGAACAAAGCGAAGCAATGCGCACACCTCCACTTTATTCTCGGAGGAATAACTCTGTATTGTGCTTCAAAAAGCGAGTTGTAACACTGATAGCAATAAAGGGGGAAAATGGAGCACGAATGAAAAGAAATGCCAGTAATGTATGTATAACTTTCATAACAAAACCCACATGCAGTAATGAAAGCATCAAAGTAGAAGCCCTCTATTGTTCCCAATAGCCTTTGTGCCACAGTCGTCGCTCAATAAGCAACAGAGTCAACAAACGCGAGGTATAAACAGAGGTGCTCGCCGGCTAGAAGCACGACATCAAAATCAAAGGACAAACAGCAGGAGAGGGGTGCAGCAGAAATGTTTTATTGTTTCCAAATGGCATTTTTTTTATTGTTGTGGGGAGTTAAAACCCATGCCGAGCTTATGGAGGGAAATCAAATCAATGCTCCAACATTTTCATCCCCCACTTATTGTCTCTCCTATCAATCATGCCAGTTTTGAAGTGATAACTTTGAAAACACTTGAGAATGTTATAAAGATGCTTAAGAGAGATTGGAAAGTGTGACAGCATGAGCCGAGAAACGGTCTAATGTGGGACAGAATACAGTAACTGGGGATTATTCTTCCACCACACTAACAAAGGCCAAACAGAGAGCTTAACACAAATGAGTCAGAGACAAATGTTATCACTTTGACAGTTCTTTGAATCCTACCCACATTTTGACTTTTAAGTTCTTGGTATTTTTAACTATATACTTCAACCGGATGAGGAAATGTAATCATTAGACATCTGGATCTTAAATTATCATACGAACAAGCTGAGCAAACATTAGCCTTTAGCATGTAGCTGCTCCGCCCTGTGTCCCCTGGGAAAACAGTCATGTTTATCATGAACTGTTAACTTAATGTTATTTGTCTGTTTGTTTTGGCAATAAGGAGACGTCTTTGGATAATTTCGCTCCTCATCCTCCTGAGCAATGAAAAATGAAAGAAATCCTAGAAAGGCTTACTGAATGATAAACGCCTATGATCCCATGCTACTTTGCGATGCCACCAACCCCAACTTTAAAGAAATATGTTTTTTGCACTATAAGCAATACAACATTTGTGTACATGTAGTGATTAAAGGGTAGTATTATGTTAATTTGAACATGTCTGCATATTTAGCCATGCTGGTTGCCTATGGATGGCAATTTCATTCGCCGACTTCAGTCGAAATACCTTAATAGTTATTGGATAGATTTCTGTAAAGTGTTTTTCTGATATTTATGGTCCCAGAGGATACATTTTAATTACTTTGCTGATCCTCTGTCTTTGCCTCAAGGCGCCATAATAACGTTGACATTTATGGTTTTAGGTAAAAGCTTTTGTCAGATATTTGATGGATTAGCTATAAATATTCAAGTTCCCAAGCCCGGGGATAAACAGTTTTAACTGTCATGATTTCTCTAGTCTTCTTATGGTCCTTCATCAGGACACCATATCCCAACGTGCATTGAAGCTAAAACATCCAATCACCGAGCTTCAACCAATCAGTTCAGTGGGTGTGTCTACGTCTGTTTCCGGTGACTTTATTTTGAAAAAAGCAAGCCCGATATTATAGAATTAAACAAATAAATAAAAACAAGGATAATTGTGTGTTATTGTTGAGTAAATAACAGTGTGTTATTTAGAAAAGAATAACAAATTAGAAGGAAAAAAAGATTTAAAAAATACATATTTCAGTATCCTGAGGCTCTGAGCCCCATTTCCTTTCCTCAAAAAAAGTCAGACATTATACATTTAAAATAAAAACAATAATCGTGGCTTGATATTGAGTAAGAACATGTTTTTATGAACCACACAGCTTCCGGTCTTCCAAGACCCGACCGGACAAAAAGACGTGGTGCAGGCACGAAACATACTACCAATAGAAATACATTGCTTTTAAAATCGTTCTGTGTGACATGAAAAAAAGGGGGAAATCGTGTTGGTGAACACGAATCAAGAGATTAAATGTTGTGACTATAACACGAAATGCCGTGAGACTGGGTTGACTATTAAGAATAACTTCCTGTCCCTCAGGTGATGACGGCAGTAGAGCAGGACTACCGGCTGCCCCCCCCCATGGACTGCCCCATGGTGCTGCACCAGCTGATGCTCGAGTGCTGGATGAAGGAGAGGAACCTGCGGCCCAAGTTCTCCCGCATCGTCAGCACCCTGGACAAGCTGCTCCGCAACGCCGCCAGCCTCAAGGTGGTGACCAGCACCTACTCAGGGTGAGGAAGTAGCTTTCTCACATGCTTATTGTTAAGCACTGAGCATTGTTCTCAAACTGTTTTTGTTTCGTTGAAGTGAATGGATAAAGGTTTCAATGCCAATGGAAAGTGTTTCCTTTTGGAAATGTGTTTTATCTTAGCTCTTGTTAGAACACCAAAGCAAATAACCGTTGCCATCTTGGCAGTGAGATTTAGCAACCTCTCAGACACTCTTGATTTACTCACTATGGGTGTAAAGGGTTGTACCAAATGGATGTTGATCTTCAAAATAATATTTCAACTTCTAAAGAATCTCAGTTCACAACAGCAACCAACATTTATAGTAAATGCAGAAGCATGTTGGAAAATTGTTGAGATTTGCTAGTACTTTGATCATAAAGTCAGTAATGTATTCCTTGTAGTTTATTTTTGCTGTGGGCGGACTTGACAGCTGCTACCTGTTATTGAAAATATATGCATTTTTCTGCTGGGTTTTCCATATAGTCACTTTTTACTTTTTAGGTTTTTTCCACAATAACAGCTGAATAGTGCAAACACATGAAAGGAGTGATGCAATTCTTTCTCTTTCACCTTGTGTGAAATTGTCACCCATATTGTATTTGGCAGCTGTGAAGTGCACGGTAAAGACTCCTCCTGGTGCCTCTAGGTTTTTGGAATAAGATGTTAGAGTTAGAAAACATATATAAATATATGGCTGTACTAAAAAGAAGCATACCGAGGTTCGTACTTGTTGGGTTAGTTTTGTTTTGTGCTTTTGGTTAATTCTAGAGATTTCTTTGAAGTGAATGTGCTGACAGACGTCTGCCTTTTTTCTCCGAAGCTTCCTTTGAAAGTGTAGTTGACTTATTCATAGGTATGCTCACATTGACAAGTTGTTTTTCAACTTTTGTTTTTAGCGCAATGGCTCCAAACGCCCCGACCAATTTTTACTGACGTGTTTGTTCTGAATTTTCTTAGCCTGGCATCCAGTATGATTAGTGCTGGTAGATCCTGAGCTCTGTAGTGATGTATATTTCATCAAGAGCACTTCCTCATCCCTGACAATGCCACAGTTTCCTGTTTCCGACGGGCACAAAGGCAGAATTCATACATACGGCATCAGGGTCTTGTGCCAGCTCCTTGGCTCTCAGTCTCACTCCAACACAGAGGCCCCAGGGCGATCCCTCTGCCAGCATTTGGGCTCAGCGAAGCTAATTGTGTGTGGAAATGTAATGGCTGACCTCGGTTTAATTCCCCCTATACATGGCTGGATGCTGGAATTTAGGTGATAGGACAGACAGAAGCCAGAGCTGCTGATGTGGAAAAGCAGAAGGTGATGAAGTGTGAGTAATAAGGGAGATTGAGGAGAAGCTAAAAGAGAGGAATGTGTTTAATTAGGTTGCTAATGAGCTTTTTAATGCATCAGGGGAGGGCGCGCCCAATGCTGAGCGAATAGTGTGTGTGTGTGTGTTGATGTTATGCTACGTGTCGCTGTATGCAGATCATATGCCAGTGATTAATTTATGGCCTCATCTGTATGCAGCAGAGACGGCGGCAGAGGAGGCGGGAGATAGGGTCGTGTTGTCGGATCACGGTTTAGAGAGCGTCTCCCGTGTTCTCTCGTGTGAGCGCTCGCTCCCACTCACCTGCCATTGGCTGCTGGCTGATTTTGGGGCAGATAACGGGAGGGAGGGAGAGGATATGAGACGCGGCGTATCTCTGCAGTATCTACATCCTTCAAAACAAGGACGCTGGCCGAGCAACAAAGGACGCACGGAGGCTGTTTCCCATGATAGCTAAGAAATATGTTGCATTTTTTATTAAAACTATGAAATGAGATGGGTATATTTGGCTTGGAATTAGGTTTTTTTTACATCTGTAGATCAGGAGATTAGTCTTTTTTGGTTTATAGCCATGAGGTCTAAGGTGCTGGCGATGTTCTATACAGCACTCAGATGGATGGGACCTTTATCCTCCTTCGATGAGAGCACTTAGCGGTGTAATAATGAGCCTTATCTTTTGTTTCAAGTGGATGTGAACCTGTTGCTCTGTGTTGGCAGGGACCTGCTGCGGCTCGGAGGCACTCTGCCGGGACACAACAGGAAGAGTCCGGACAGCAGTCAGGAAATCGTTCGGCAACAGATGAGCCAAACTCTCCCCATCCGAGTGTGATCTGCTGCGAGAAGAAAACAGAAAACTACCTAAAACTCTATCCTGAGGAGCCTGATGTAAAATAAAGAGAAGATAAAAGAAGGAGGACCGTTTTGGAGATGTCTTCTCAACTGGAGATTTAAAGTCCGTTTAAAGAGAACTGTCCTTTGCAGTGTGTGTGTTCATTACTTGACACTTTGTTGACATAAAGCCAAACTTCCTATTGCCCCCTCTCAGGTTGTGTTTGCATGTCTGCATGAGTTTTTATGCTGGTTGGGAATCAGTCTCCCCCCCCCCCCCCCCCCCCCCCCCCCCCCTCACATCTGAGGAGATACACGATTCAGATGAGACAACAGTGCCAAGAAGAAACAAATGTTGGCTTAAAAGGAACTTTTAAGACAGCTCAACATCTGTAGACCTTCACTCCAATCAACCTTTTTCTTTTTTAAACCCAACCTGTTCTTTTTTTTTGCTTTTTTTTAATTTCAGGATAAAAACGTTTCATCTGCTTCCTCTCAAATACTGTCTTCCACATGTACCGGGAGATTTACAAATCTGTACAAAGCATCCAAGTCTTCACACCGTCCTTCTGCGCGGGGACATAACTGACACTGTGCGGGACACGTTCATGTGCATGCCAAAGTGGAATCTTCTTTGTGAGAAAAGTACAAACAAGTTCCACATTAACCGTTTGCTTTGGTGGCATCTTTGCTGTACGGCCTTTAACGTCCGCGTTTTTCCTAATCTCATTTGATTCATATACGCATTGTTTTGAATGCTAAGTTATTATCGCAAAGAGTTGGTTTTTTTGTGTGTTTCTTTCTTATTACGAGAACCGGGGCTTAACTTTTTTATTACAATGCTTGTTTTTTTCAACCAGACAGACTGAATGAGTGAATATGTTCTGCTCGGACGGAATACTTCTAAATGAAAAGCGCCTGTGGTCGTGACGTGTTGTACATTTTACTTTGGCGATTTGTTGCAGATCAGTGGGAATTACAAAGGTCGTCATCCAGATGATAGCTTGGTGACCTTAATGTTGACCTGACCTGAAACACCCATGTAGAAAGAATCATTCATTGGTTTATTTCTCCTGACATGTGTTTTCTGCAGCGTGCCAGCTGTCAGCGCAGTTCCTATCTAAATCAACTGCCTGTATATAATACTATATTTCTATTAGACCAGTCAGCTCAGCATTTACAACCATCTGGCCTGATTCTGGCCTCTCTATGACCCTCCTTTATATGCCTGTTTGTTTATTGTCGAGGAGCAAACACATGGAGGAACTGCAGTCTAAATGGTCATTACATATCTGAAACTATATGTCCCAAGGAAAGAAGAACAATGTGTGTCTGTTAGGGCAGACTTTTTCCTGTGCAATTAAAAGGTGTATTAGATTGTAAAAAGAAAAAAAAAAATGGCAGAAAACTAGAACGAAAAATAAGCATTTCTCTTTCAGTATTTTTACGATAATCATATGCAAATAAATTATTAAACGGATCTCTGGTATTCTCTTTGATTTGTCGGCGGGTTCACCAGGCTGGAGTTCCGGGTCTCCTCTCATCTGGCCGAGGGATGAAAAGAGAGGGAATAGCAAGTGTGTTTTACCTCCTTCCTCAGATATATCACTGCGGCTTCGGGTGGACTCATTAAGATATAAGATTAATCATAGGGCCAATTAGCCAGACCACAGGACTATTCTGGGGGACTTCAGTCTCTGTCGCTGCTGGAGAGGCTTCAAGGAGGCGAAGTTAATCTGGCTTCACACCAAATGTCAGTGTTGTCTGGCTTTAATCCGCCAGCCAGGACCCAAACCGGCTCTCTTTCCGTACCAGTGCAGATGAGTGAAGCTGTCACCTTCTGTTTTTATTGACTGAAAGGGAGCTCTTCTGTCGGGGGGGGGGAGTCATACCTACCCTCCCTGCTCAGACAGCAGCTGCAGAAACGTAATGAGTGCTGATGTGGTGTTCTCTGCATGTTCTCTAATCATGGCTGCTGCTCTCACAGGATGTACACAAGGCCAGGCAACACTAAGGTCTCGTCAAGCGCACAGATCCAAATGTGCAATTTATGCAGACTCAGAGCCACCGAGAGCCATTCTGCTGAGCGACCCACCAAGCGTGGCATTTATCACGAGAGTCAAAGCTCTGCAGTCAGACTGGAGATACATGTAGGGCCATTTGCTTTGATTTTCCCCCAAATGTTGTTCTATTTTTCACAAATTCAGTGTCTTCCGTTTGAAGTTTTCGGAATTCTAAGCGTCACCCTTAGATCGTAAAATTGAGTCTACTTATGTTGTAATGAAAAACGGTTCAATAAGTAAATAAGCTAAATTTGATATTTAAAATAACTCATTGATTCTTTTTTACTTATATTGCAATTAGAAAAAGGAGGGATTTATCATGTGTGCATCTTTATTCTCATTATCAATTAAAAATATATATAAATGGTCAGGGTGTGATTTGGAGCTGTTCTAAAAGTGTTTGTTGAGTCCGGATTACAATTTGTGGGCTGGATATCTCTTCAATTCCACAATACCTTATTCATATTTCAACTCGTATTTTGGCCATTAACAAATATTGTGCATCATCCAACATGACAATGCGCTATGTTTTTGATTGTAGGTGTTCATTGTACATATTCTTACAGGTCAATCCACTCGTATATTACAACACACACTACCAGAATCTGCCAGCAACAGGAAAATAATTTAGGGAAGGAACATTTCTGTAGTGCAAGTAGGATTGACCAATCACTTTTGAGCAGGCTTTGGTTGGCTGGACTGCAATCTTGATACCTATTGGCTATTGTTCGACAAAGGATTTGGCTTTGAATGTGATAGGAATAAGATTGTAAAATTGCGACATATCTCTCAACTTCAACACTGTACTTGCATTTTCAAGTCAATGGTTAGACTGTAAAAGCAAGCAATGGAACAGAAAAATAGTTCTTAGCCCGGACACCTGTTGGCTACATCTGAACCCCAGAAATATTGCTCCTGCCTCAGGAGGCTTACCATCGTCAGACTGAAAGCTGATGGATTCTGGCATTGATCGTATGTTGGCTATACTTACAGATTAGTTGTTCTCCTGGCTCTTAATAGTCAATATTGCTCTGCTCTAAATTTTTGCTAATACCTCAGTTTTATTGATGGATGAAGCCTTCTCAGACAGGGCCTCTCCAACATCACTGTGAAGTTTGTGTGGGGGGAGTAGCTGAAGCTCGCACTTGATAAACACCGACACAGAGAGCAGCAGAGAGCAGAGTACCTGAAAATGACACCAAAAAAACTAAATCTTAAAGCCATCCAAATTTCATCGATTTCATGATTTTCCGTGTTTTACAGTTTTATTAGCCCATCAAATTCCTCAATTCCTTCCGTGTTTTTCCGCATCACGGAATTCACAGGGCACTGGATAATTGCTTCACGGTTGCATATCTGCTGTTTCTGTTAATGCGAGACAAGAGATAAAAAATGCTTGACCTTGGTGGAGAATATAATGCGTACCAGCCTGCTGAGGAGGAAGTGTTCAGGGGAAAAGCTGTATTTTTCCATTTTGAAACGGACCAACGTTTTAATGAAGCTCTGAGAGGAAGAAGAGAAGCCTGTTCTAACCACGCTCGCTCTGTTTACCGTTGCGTCCGAGATCTGACACGATGTCAAAAGTGATATTTTGCATCCTGTTTACCATTAGAGACTTGAAGCGTATCCAGCTTTGCGGCTCACTGCTCACCAGAGAAACCCCTCGCAGACCCCCATCTCACAGAGCGGGATGTTTTTCAACGCTGCCTCTTAAACATGATACAAAATGGCATCGGACCTAAAGGAAAAAATATCTCATTATTGTATTACAGTCCATTAAGTGATGAGAAATCAGCTGCGACGGGCTCTCACTGAGGTTTTAATGAGCGTGCTTGGTGGAGGGAAAATGGAGGAAGTGATGGCACGATGACAGACAGTTTTTATTTCACGGCTGCTGGTTGCCCGTCAGTGACCAGGCCATCGGCGGGTTAACGTCAAATCCCTACTTCCCCAGAATGATCCCTACGATTAGTGCGAGCTTAACAGCAAGCCTTATACTGGATGTACACAACCAGCCAACCAAAACACATAGGAAGAAAACACACATCGAACGCAAATCCCCCCCCCCCCCCCCCCCCCCCCCCCACTCATACACAGATCTGCAGGATTGGCAGTGATTTGTCAGATTTAGCTGCATGTACTCGTGTAGTCCCTCTGAATGCACCAGTCAGTTTTCTTTCAAGCTCAAAGCACTCATTTGCCATCCTGTCCAAAGCAAGTTTAATGCCTCCAATTACAGGGGGGTCTGCAAGCAGGCAGATTTGGAGCGAGGAGGCTTGGCAGGAGAGTTTGCTGCGCATCAGGGCCTTTTAACAGAGTAGTGATTTGCTGCTGCTGCCGGTTGCTGAAGCTGCCTGCGCCGGCTCATCAATGGAAAACTACCCTCTTTATGGCGAGGCGCATGCAGCACTAAGCCCAAACTGTGGGGAGAGACACAAAAATATCAGGCTTCTTTAAAAAAAAAAACGACCGGCTCTTCTGCACTGGAGGAATTTCTGCATCTCTGCACCGCAAGCACAAATGGAAATCAAAGTCTTTTCAGCAATCATTTTTTATGTAAAAAATGGGCTGTATTTTAATTGAATATTCTAAGATACTGCACAGCAGAGTGATGCTGCACAGGCAGCAAATGAAGGAAGGCGAGATAGCTGCAGTTATGCTGAAACATGTGATACGGTGCATTGAATATATTTTCTATCTGCTGTTTTTACTTGAATCAGCTTTGATTTTGGAGTTCATCTATCTCTTAAGGTTCACTATGAAGCCTTAAGATTTCTACGGAATACTTTCAAAGTGGCAGATTGCATTGATCCATATTCATATCACTGATAATATGCAGCATCATTTTGCACATAAGGACCCTCTGCAGAACTTTCCACATCAAATATGAACTACTGCAGTTGCACTTTACTTAAAAACTGCACATAGAACCCATTGAAGACATAATTACATTTCCCTATTCACAGACTTTAATTGAAAATGGTGGTTAATTTCCCAGTTTTCCCATGATTTTACTATAATTCTTTAATTCAGAATACAGCCACCCGCTCTGAGACATTCTTCTTTTTAATCCAAATTAGTGGATTAATTTAGCTTCTTCTTATAACCAGATTATTGTAATCTCGTTAAAGATAATCCCTAACCCTAGTCTTCAAGTACTATATCAGTGAAGCAGCTGCCACTAAAAGCAACAGT